CGTCTCTGATAGAAGAAACAAGAAAATGGTTAAAAATTGTCATGAACAAATCAACTATTAATTAAATATTTCCCGTAAATGTGTGGCTGGTTTGTCGGACATGGCTGCGTTAGAGTGTAGGCCAATCTTCTCCAATGACGGTCGAGTAGTGCGTGTAAGCGAAACACCAGCGTATATTCTCAGAAAAGGAGGTGTACCCAAACTAGGTGCAGAATTCACACTGTGCAGCTGGCACTAGCAGAATGCGCGTTAAATCATGTGTATTGGTTTCAAATAAACATCGATATGTTGACCGGTATCATTCTTGGGCGTTAGGCATCAGCCGGTTCGAACATGAGCTCCGCTTCTCCTAGTTTTTGTGCATCTGTTTACGTGAAATAGTTTTCCTCTTCCTTTGCTGGTTTTCGCTCAAGAAAACGTAAACCCTAAGCAGGTTTCTTCTTAAGTTGTTTGAATTATAACCTCCGTCTTGGATCAAGCTGCAAGTGAGTTCTTGGCTTTAGCGTAAATTTGGAAATGCGTCTATGCTGGGGCACGTTTCTGTCATCAGCGCTAGGTTGCATGCCGTTACGGCTCAGCATGCCATTCCATTTCCGAGGCATCTAATAGAAAATCAAAACAGCGGTCCATCACCGCGCTGTACATCACGTTAATTCTTCCTTGGATTTGGTTAATGTAGCTCTTCCACAGCGAAGACCGAGCCCGGACGTCTTGTAAGACATATCCAATATCTCCTAAAATGATGCCGGCAGACACTTTTAAGGACCACAGCAATAGTCGCCGACTAACCTACGATCTTCTGGTCACAACGTACGATTTTCTTGCTTTCTAGCCGTGAAGATACCCAAAACTGGTCGGATAATATAACCTTCTGGACGTAACTATCCGTTCAAGAGAGCTTCAAAAGGCGAGCAGCCGCTCGCTTTTTGCGAATTTCCAATGATTCTTTAGGTTTACAGTGATGCATCTACACTGCAGACCTAACGCAGATCGGGTTAAATCACGTTGCCTACCTCTTGGACCAAGCTTCGTAGATTGATCGATCTACATTGAACGGTGTGAAGCAGCATGAGTTGAAGTCTGGTAGACACACCGACAGTGGAAGAGAGGCAGATAGCAGTTCCTCAGTTTCGAAACGCCAAATTTGTCGGTGCTGACGTGATCCACCTTGAAGTGGTGAAACACGGCGGACCCGCGATTTTGACTGCGTTTGCAACACTTGGTGAAACGCGTGCTGCTTGCAGAGGAACTACCTCCTGAGCTGAAGGACGTTATTGTTCTACCGCTGTAGAAGCGCAAAGGGAGCAAGCAATTCGCCACAAGTATTGTTTTATTAAGTTACTGAGCTATTTTCGCAAAAGTGAAAGCCGGAATCCTACTCAACCGTCTCGTCAGTCGGTTTATGGGACTGAACTTGGTGAAAGAGCAATGTCGATTATGTTCACATCGTAGCACCAGCGACATGATTCTTGTGGCTAGTCAGCTGAGGCGAAATGCAGACATCGACATCAACCGTTGTACTCGCTTTTTATTGATTTTGCCAAATCATTTGTACGGTGAATCAAAAGGTATTTTGGCTGGTGTTGGGTATATCTGATTGTCCAAGTAAGGTGGGAGGTTTAATTTTATGTCTGCGCAGTGGTAGGCGTCTGACGGTGCAGCTATATGAAGCAAGGCTGTGTCTTATATCCTGCCCCGTTTAATATTTATCTTCATTCCATGTCGTCCTATGCTTTCGATGCGTCTTGTGCTTACGGCGTTAGTCTGTACCACCCTATTGATGGTGCGCTCCTGATCATCCATCGTTTCAATGCGAATACCCTAGCCGTTGAGAAAGCTCTTCATGTGTTGCCGCTTGTTGGCGACTGGGCGTTGTTTGCACACAGCGCGGATGAGTTGCAGCACATGACTGTTGTCCTAGCTTCGACAGCGGCCAAATTCGTGCTCACTCTTAACACAAGCATCACACTCTGTGTATTTCAGCTTTCACTGGACATGCAATCTATAATGGTGTTGCGAAACAGCATTGGTGCTGAAGTATTTGAAAGAACCATGCGGTACGGCTACATTTGGTGGTTTATGTCGACTGACCATCCGGTACACGGTGAGCTGCGTATCCGCGGATGGAATCTAGCGGCAGCAAACCAGACCTTCGGTGCTGAATTGCCGCCAGGTTATGGTCTACAGGTCCATGGGGCTTGCGTTCATCTATACGGCAGCGAAACGTGGAAGATATACAAGCTAGATGTGCGATATTTTGAGCGGATTCATTAACAGTGTTTGGGAAATATTCTGCGCATTGGTTGGTGCGACAGAGTTGCAGACACCAGTGTTGCGCCGAATTGGAATGTATGCAGTGGACTGCATACATTTTTTGAGGCATCTGTGCGGGTTTGGTTAGGTGTGGTCTATGGATTCGATGACGATACCGAAGCAGCTATTATATGGTCAGCGGAGTGTGAGGAAGCGGTATGCAGGGAAACCAAAGCTTCCTTACCAGGAGAAGATCTAAGTGAGCATGAAACGTTCTAATGTTAAAGTTTGTTCATTGGTATTGAATGCGGTTGATCGGTGTGCATGAGGCGTCCAAATCACAAAGGCAGTTGTCGAGGTGCAAGGGAAAGCCCTACTGCATGCAGAGAAGAAATGGCAGTTGCAAAGCTGACAGGCGACGATGGATTGTACTCCATGGACGTCGAGCGCATGGTGCTGTAGCACAATAGGTCGCGATTGTCTGAGTCCCCCAGGCCTAGTGCGCCACGCGCTTGGCCATTAAAAACGTGCTGCAGAAATACGGCGAGTGCTGGTGAGAACGTAGTTAGAAGCAGCGCAGCGTTGTGTACGCTGCACACGATTTACTTACCGCGTGTTTGCTTGATGAGTTTCCTTGTTTCAGGTAATGTGTTTCCTATCTTGTCTTATTTCATTTTTATTTTATTTTAACGTCAATGACTATTAGGGCTGTTGAGAAGGTAAGCAGAACCGGCGCCGTGTTGGTAGGAACGCTGCATCCGATTTACGACCAGGAAGCTAGCGCGCTGAGTATCTTTATTGCAGGGAATTGGTTTGATATAGTCGCTTAATGCTTAGTTTGTTAAATAATTTAGATAGCTGTCTGAAGTGGTTCCTTTTACTTACTTTGCTAAAACCTATTTTCCTTAACTTCATGTAATTTTCCTGCTCGAGGTGTTTTAAAAGATATCATTTTTACACCTTGAAATGTTGGTCTGTTGATGATAATTAAACTATTTCATATGCTCATTTAGCGAGGAGTGAAGTCGGTTCATTTTTCTGCTTTTTCCAAAACCATTATTTGAGCTTGTTCACTTAAATGATTGGCTTCATATTGCCATTATCGGTGTGGCTGTGTGCATGCTGAAAACGGACCTACCTGTCAAGCACCATCGCCTCAATTACTGGCTCCAGGAGATTGTGAATCGTTGCTAGGGTTGACGGGTGCAAGGTCCCTATGGCCGTGTTAAGTTAGGAGATTGGTTTCATGCACACGGTTTGCACGCAAAACGACTACGGTCCAGCCACCGCCATGTGTAATCTTAAATAACTAAACACATCGTGCTTGTGTAGAAGGTAGAAGCCACGAGTAAAATGCACAGGAATCTGCCTCGACGGGGAATCGAACCCCGGACATACGGATTGTGCTTGGGTTTGACTGTGAAGGTGTGTAAGCTGGCTCCGTTGAGAAAACGTGTCACCCATCCAAATACCTCCCGGTGTTATTCCTTCGGGTTTACACTGTATATGGGGTGTGTGGCTGGAGCTGTGGGTGATGCAGCGCAAGCCACCCATGGTCCGGCTGTAGGCGCAGGCGTCCTGTGGTTTCATATGCTGGCCACATTGACAGGTGATTCCGGAACAGGCTGATGCCAAACATCCGGTATTTCGTTGCTGTTCCCCTCCCCTATATCTCCGTTTGGATGATTTGTTATATTTGTTCAACTCTAGCGGCACCTGCTTATTATTTGATAAGCACAGCTGTTTGGTTGGCATGACGGAAAGTTCCAAAACCTCAATGTAGTCAATAACAAGAATATTGAGTTCACCGCTAACTGTGTAAAGGGTAGCATGAATGCGCTTACCTGAAATAGCCAGTTCACAAACAAATTCGATAAAAATTTGATTTTACTTCGGAATGAATTTGTAGACGTATTATTAGTCCGAATATATCCTATCAAACCCAGTTTCTTCCTGGTACGTTTTCACAAGATTGAGATGTTGAACCTCTTAGGAATTTGTAAACGAAACCTTTAGTTAATCCTCGTCGTCAAGTAGTTGCGGTGGAGTTTAAAATTAGGATGAGTTGTTGTAACCGCGGCGTTAAATTCGGGCTCGGTCCTTTGTTAGGGACTGACTGATCGACGCCTTTGCCAGTTGTCGAGATATTTTTCTTTGTTCGGCATTGATTTCTTTGCGGTTACGTTGGTTACACTCTGAGCAACTGGACTACTCATAGGAGAAGAAATTTACGAAAAGCCTTTCATCATTCAGTCAGCACGCGGAAGGTGGTTTTGCTACGACTTGTGCTGCTGTTCTGTGGTTGGCTTAACTATGTCGTCGTGCTATTGAAATGGGAGTTAGATGATAAAGTCTCCAACTCAGTGTTATTGTGCTTTGGGTTTAGCGAACGCTGACACGAACGGTATCTGGCTAAGCGCAATGGCTATGGACAGTACAACCTTGTTCAATAACCTGTTTCTGATATCACGGTTGGAGGGTAACATTAATTTGCAACCAAAAATAAGACAGTTAAAGTTATCCTGTCTTAGTAGACAGTTTGAGCTGTTCGCGTACGAAAATGACTCTACCAGCATATTGTGCTAAGATCTTCACACATGTTCGGCTATTTTCCTGCATCCGTAGCGAGTATTAATCAAGGATGAATGTTGAACAACAGTATGCAGTAGTCGGGGTATGGTTTCATCAAAAGTCAGCTTCCTGTTGATTGCTGGATAAATTTTAAGAGTGAGATGTGTGAATGGTATGTTAATGATCCATAGCAATAGGTTGAGACGATATGCTTCGCCTTTGTGTTTTCATCTGATATTTATTAAGTCCTCATATCATTGGTACCCCTGGATTAAATATCAAACCCACGTCAGCTTCATAGTGAAGCTACTTGCTGTTGTTGGCACTTAAGTCGGCTGCATTTTCTTTATGTAGAGGACGGATGACTTTAATATGAATTGCCGTAAAAAGTATTCTATTATGCGCATTTGGACCGCCTTGAAATGTGGGTGTTATTGGAGCAAGATTGCCTTTAATTCCTCTGTAGTTATTGACATGTCGTGTGAGTTGCCTTCACAACAGCTGTTGTCTCGGACACGGCTAGAGTAACGTGCAGGCCAATCCCATGCAAGGGAGAACGAGCAGGGCGATTACGCGAAAGACCGGCGTCCATTCTGAGAAAAGAACGTGAAGCAAACGCAAATGAAGAAGTTACGTTGTGCAACAGGCACTAGCAGCATGTGCGTTAGATCCTATGAACGGATTTCAAAGCAACATCATCAACAACATTATACACGTCAGCTGGAGGTAGCAAACAACTCAGCTACTGTGCCGCAATACATAAATGGAAAAGGAAAATAAATACAAAAGTTGCATGCCAGTTGTGCTACCAGCAACGGATAGGCAACGTTCCGGTAAGATACCAGCCGGCTACAAGGCAAAATAGATTATTATGTTTTGCGCTAAGGATTGAGATCGTAGGTGGAGTGGAGGCTAAAAGGGATGGGGAGGGACAAAGAAACTCACAGCAGAAACGCCAATGAGGTCGGCTCCTTGCCATGTCGGCAAGTGTATCCCGCCAAACGTGTTCACCGTCTTTTGAACCCCAACCATGGATCCGTGACGTTCAAACCGTGGCCAGCACAGAAGTGAGGGCCTTTATTCCTCTAGACCAAGTCATCGTTTGGCCACCCCTCCTCTTCTTCAATCCACATCCCCGGTGAGCAAACAACGTACGTCGTGGAAGTCGGTGGACTAGAATGCGCAACACGTGGCCCAGCCATCTGAGCCTAATGCGTGAAATGACGGTGCTGATCGGTTAAATTCCTTTATCTGCGCCGTAAACGAGGCGCCGAACACGCTAGTTGCTCACGCAGTGTTCCCACCAGATATGAGCCAAACTGCGAATGCACCAATGGTCGAACGTAACCAACCTCTTCGTGTCCTGGCCTTTAAGGCCAGGTTTCGCAACCGCACAGTAAGGTCGAACGTACCGCTGCATTGTACACTCTACCCTTCAGGGCGAGAGTAATGTTGCGCCGTCGCCATAGGTGGCGAAGGTTAGCAAAAGCACTTCAAACCTTTGCTATACGGTTCGTGATCTCGTCTTCGATCCCAAGGGCGCTGATACAACTTCGCAGGTAGTTGCAATTCTGAACGACTTCTAGCTGATCCTCACCAAGGGTCAGCGCGGCAGGCGATCCCTGCCAATCTTGGAGGAACGCTTTGCATTATGATGGTGCAAAGCAAAGCCCGATGCGGCTGACAGCCAGTGCTAATCTGTTCAGCGCGGCGTGGCAATTCTTGGTGCTGTCACAGATGAGGGCAAGGTCGTCTGCATACTACTAGTCGATAAGTTGTTGTCCTGGGAGTAGCTCCACACCTTATAAGTCATGTCCTGTAAATTAAATCTCCATGACTTCGTCAATAGCGAAGTTGAAAAGGAAAGGTGATAGCGGGCATCCCTGTCTCACACCGCTGGAGATAGTAAAGGGCGACGAGAGCTTGCCGTAAGCCCTCACTCTGCTACGTGCGTATGATGCTTGGCGAAGTTTTACATATTTCTAGGGCACATCTTTCCTGAGTAGACAATTCCAAAGTGCACATCGATCAATTGAATGGAATACATTTTTGATGTCGAGGAACACGACTACGGTGGGCCGCCAATATGTGTGACGATGCTCCAACAACTGACGCAAGGTGAAGTTGTGGTCGATGCAACCACGACATCGACGTAACCTGACTGGCTGCTTACGAATCTGGCTTTCACGAGCGCCAATCAGTCTGTGAAGGATCATGGAGGCGAGTACTTTGGCGGCGATGGAGGTCAGACTGATTCCTCTATGGTTGCCGCATTCTAAGCGCGAGCCTCCTTTGAGGATGGGAACAATAACGGAGCAGCTCCAGTCGGTTGGGACAGCCTTCTGCTCTCACAGTTTCACTAGTAATGCAAGTAAAGCATCAGCAAGAGCAAAGCCTCCGAATTTGCAGAGGGTTGGAGGAAGATCATCTGGTCCCGCGGCTTTGTTCAACTTTAACAGTCCGATCTCACGTTCCACTTCTGAGCGAGAGGGTGGATCCAAAGGGACAGCCAACATAGCAGGGCAATCACTGACCGGCGAAGAATCGAACAATTCTAGCCGATTAAATTGCCTTTCAAAATGCTCAGCCCAACGCTCCAAGCGGTTTGACCAATTGTGGATAGGCTGTCCACTCTCGTCACGTATAGTTTAACTAACACCAGGTCTCCTGTCGCCCGTTTCCCGTATCAGACGGAATAACTAACGATGGTTGCCAAGGTCAGCGGCTTCTTCCATCTCTGACGCACGGTGAGACCACCAAGCTTCGCGGTCTCTCTTTAGGCTTGCACGAAGTTTTGCCCGGAGATTTTTGCGAGTTTCATTGTGTTCGCTTCCAGCAGGAATATGTCGAGGAGCATCGATATGTTCCAGAGACTGCTAAGAGACCCAATAACCATGTTGGCTATTAGACATGCCACATGAGGATTTGCCTGCTGCTAGTAAGGTCTGGCGAACATGTGACCAATGACCATCAATTGTCGCCAGTGAGCGATTACTCAACTCGCTTGTCAGCGTATTTCGACAGGCATTCAGAACAGCTGGCTTTGTCAGTTGGCTGGTGTCAATGTGCTCACAGCGTCTTCGTGGGCGTCCGCCAATATACCTCCGCATGTCAGCACATACAAGTGCATGATCGGTGTCCACACATGTGCTCCAAATCGAGCGACAGTTATGGACGCAGCCTCTCCAGCGGTAACTAATAGCAATGTGATCGACCTGCGTTTAGGGCTGGTTCGAGACTGGTGGGCGCAAAGTCACCCTCCGGCGGGTGCTGTGTCGGAAGTTAGGGCTCGCAAGAAATAGGCGAACACCTTCACGCAAATGAAGTAACCGCTCACCGTTATCATTACGGATGCCTACACCGTACTAACCGCCCAAATGCATTTCTTCAGTGAACAACTTTCCAACTTGTGCGCTCAAATCCCCAGCCAGCACCACAGTGTCCGTACTTCTTCTGTGACGAAAGAGTTGGGTCAGTTGGCGTTAAAAGTCGTTCTTTATCAAAGCATCGCTACAGTTTGTGGGTGCGTAGGCAGCAATGATGGATAGACACCTATTAGTCCCGCGCGACTTCGAAGCTTTGAACGAGCCATCCAGTCGGACCGCACATATCCGGCTACTGCTTGGAATCCAATCATCCAGAGCAGCTTCAGCCCGGGGACTCAGGGCAACGCCAACACCGGCTTGGCCGGTGCTCGAAGCTGCATCGTCACCGGATAGGCGCAATGAGAAAACATTGCTTGAGTCACATGAAGGGGATCGCAGAGTGAGCACAGAGCTCTAGTCTTGCAGGCGGGTCTCCGATAAGCAGCAGATGTCGATGGAGAGGGTCTCCAATGTCCGGGCAAGTGTTGCCTGTTGACCGATCTGAAGCAATGTGCGTACATTGAGGCATGCTAATCTGAAGAAGGATCGAGGGCTCCAAATGGAAGCCGATGAACTGGAATAGACCGCTTAATTGGACATGGGCTTGTCGACAAGAGAGGAGTGACGCTCCGCGTTCACATGTGAGTTGAAATTAGAAGATAAATGCCAAGCAAAGCATGCCGGGGAGGGCCAAGAATCGGGGGTTGAAAACTGGGGGGATAAAAGTGAAGTTGGAACGGGACGGTAAGAGTGAAAAAGCGTAAGAGGGGGAATAAGAAGACAGGAAGGCTTGAGCAGTAACATCCAAACGCCTATCCACCCTGCTCGATGCAGCAGATAGTGCACCGTCGATTATCCTCTGCGGTGGCCAGATCTTCAAGAAATTGTTTGAAAAATGATTCATTGTATTGCATGGGCAAGATACTGTTAGGTTGCCCAAGGTTAGATCAGAGAACGATTAGGGTTCTTAACCAAAGTCATTGGTTCAGAAACCTTTCCGGAATGCAGCGGGTTTGGCTTTGGGTTACAAAGAGCCCGTTTTAAAGAATAAGGTGCCACCCTCATTCCAACCCCAACCTGGAGGGTCAGGTAGTTGAGTTTGTCTGGCCTCTAACCATTGGCCAATCTGGTATGAGTGACTCTGCAGGTGCAAAAGCACCACCCAGCATAGCTCAATGGAAAGCTGAGGCACACAAACCAGCGCACAACGGTAAGGTCCAGCCTCATTGCGATGGATTTCAAATCAACACTGTTCTGTAGATGGATGGCATTTAAGTGCGTTGGATATCAGCCGGGTTTACCATGGTCTTCGCTCCATCTGGTCTTGATGCAGCGGCTGGAGTGCACGTGATTTGCACCTGCTTTACTGGTTTTCGCTCGAGAATCCGTATGCTATAAGCAATGGCATAATACAACCGCGTGTCTGCCAATACAAAATAAAAAGTAACGTCACGTCTAACTAAATTTTGGTTAAATGTTTGACAACAAGCGCCCAATTTGAAACTTATTATCCCACCAAATGAAAAACTAGTATTTCAAAGAGAAGGGCTGAAAACGGAAAAGCAGCGTGCTACTCAAAAGCAGTTTGGATCGCTGATCACGAGGTGAGTACATACATTGTAGGGTGGCAGAGCAATATATTTCCGTCTACGGACAACACAAATTTGATGCAAATTTCCTGGCAGAAGGTAGTGAAATGCTACCTGTTTTGAACATTGCCCAGTGATTTAGCACGCAGTGGCTTATGCACTCAGCCCAGCGCAGGTCACAGTTCATTAGGTTCACACTAATTTAACCTGAATTATGGAACGCTTCGTGGTCACTGGGTTGCAATTGTTTGCGGACTACAAATTTGAATTAAAGAAGCACTAGGTTGTTGAGCAATTGCGTGTTGGGGATGGTGGTGAGGTGTTTTCAAGCACCAACGTGTTTTTATGGTATGCGGAATTCCAGTTGGCAGGCGGTTCCTGGATAAGGACGCAAGGTGTGTTCGAACTGGGGAAGTAACCACCGCGGACAACCCTGCTACTGTGCAAACAAGGTTGGAGGTGGACGCCCGGATTCTTTGTTACAGCTAGGGAAATCTATTGGAATCAGGTAGGTTTCAATCTGCGCCATTTTCATGTGAGTCAAGACTGCATGGAGATTTGTGCGCGCTGGGTACCCTATCAGTTTAGCGAGTACCAGGTAGCAGCCCGGAAGAGTCAGTGCCGCACCATGCTAGCCCG